AAAAAAAAACCTTTTGCTTCGTTATGCTCATTAATTATTTTAGTTTTTTGAATTGTAGTAAAGGTTTTTGTAGTTTTTAAAGGTTTTTTGTAATTGTAGTTTTTCATCAAGTTATACTCAAATTTCATTTTTTTTTTTTGAGGGGGGGGAGGGGCCGGAGGGAAGGGTAAATGTACAATATTTTACATTTGTCGCTGGGTTTTTCAACAATTTTTTTTCCTGTCGTTATCCTGTAAAGTAGCTTTAGCAGATAACGTCGTATTATTGTAACAGATTGTACAACTCAGAGTTCTTCAGCAGATGTGATACTGTTTTATTTTATCCAAATTTATTTTTTGTCTACTTTTATTTGCTTTTTTTTACAGTATATATATATATATGTTTGTGTGTTTCTTTTTACTGATAATATTTAATGAAAGAACAGAAAAAGAAAAGCAAATAAAAAAAACTTGTTCAAAACCTATAAATTGTGTATAGGCGATGCTCATTCTTTTTGATTCAGTTTGAGTGACAAAGGAAAAAAATGACATCAGTAGTAACAGTTGTATTTTGGGGGTGGGAGACAGTGAGTGATAACTGAAAGAAGTAACAGTAAAAAATAGAGAAAAAAATGGTTTACAAATATAGTTTTCCCGAGTAAATTTAATTGACAGTCAATTTTGGATTCAAAAAACTCATTTTTTTCACCTTTCCACTCAATTTCTCCTCGTATATTTCTGTTTAACTTGGTCATATATTACATTACAATTAATATGTCAAACCTGACGACAGACGAAAGACGAAAAAATAGTGATATTTTCTTGAGCAACAAAACAACAAACTAAACGCTGTTTTGCCGTTTTCTTCACGTGTTTTTTTATCAGTATGATATCACGTTACTGGATGACAAAATAAAAGGGGCAACCGAATAAAACTGTGATTATGGGGAAGGAACTACGTATTTGCATGTGGTAATTGTAAAAACTGAATGGAATTCAATCAGCTAACACTGGAAAGCTTTTGTTGTAGTGAAAGAAAACGAAACAGAAGGCAAAGAAATTGTCATATTTTACAGAGCAGTTAAACCAAAGTTTAACACTAACTATCTAGGTGTAATCGGCTAATTAAAACCAACAATTATGTTACGTTGATTGTAGTTTGAAGTTGGAATAAGTTTATTGAGACTGGTAACGATAACGGGGGGATTGAGTGGGACTAATGCCCAAAAAAAGTCTGTTTATGGTGAATTCCGAAACGGGATAATTGTTATATGGCAACAATTTAGTTGTGATGCTCTCTCATTTGGATACATTTCAAAACGTAGAATTTACTTACCTACTTTCTCATTTGTTTATAGTGTATTTTGAAAAAGCAAAAATCAAACTTTTCTAAAAGCAAAA